CCATCATGCTGCGCGGAGAGCGGAGGACTATGGGAGTGTTAGTTTCCATCGACCAATAGTTGTCGTTTGGTGAAAATTCGTCATTGATTGTGAACTCCCTTCCGTATGTGGTGTATGTGGTGTGCATTGTTCTAAGTGGTGTCTTCATGTAATCGGTTACGACTGTTGGGTTTCCATTGCTCTTATGTAGACATTGTACATTGTGTCAGGTTCAGGCAGCGTCAGCTTGTTTCCTGCCAGGGTTGGTGGGAACGCGGACATATTTGACTGCCATATTTGTTTCATCGTATTCTATTGTAGTCTTTTTAATGTTGTAAAATACAAATCAGTATATACACACGTTCAGACCCAGATTTTCGGCTGACAGTCCAGTCTTTAAACACTTTAACAACAGCTGCTCTTGAACATTTAGCGAATTCTGCTGTTTTGCTGATACTCGCTCCATGGCTCCGAGCGCCAACAATCATCCCACGTTCAAAGGCTGTTAAATTGCGTTGTTTACCTGTATCTTCAGAAAAAAATCACTTCTACTGTCGTGGTAAACAACCTGCTTCCCTACTTATAATGGTCTGGCCCTCTAGCAACTTCAGTGCGAAATTATAGCTAATTTGCCTACAAACGTCAGGTGGTCATAATAATCTGGCCACTCAGTGTATATATATGTATATATATATATATATTTCACTGACTTTTGGGTTTTCTATAGAATAAGATCAATTCAAACTAAGCAGAAACTACTTTTAGGGGGCCGTTCACGCCATAGAGTTGTGCCAATCGCACAGTGCGCCTAGCATGCTTTGCTGTGTGCTACGTGCATTGCCATTTGAATGGCACCCCAATGTTCCTCCCAGTGACCACGCGTCACATCACAATGTGAAGTAGCCCAATACCATGCACTGCAGTAAAAAAGTATGCAGCGCACGGCCACTACAAGATGTCTGATAGTTTGTGTGTGAAGGTCTAGTGCCTGTTTATGTCCTAGGGGATCAGAGTAAAACACTTTTACCTACCTGCTTCCCCAGTGGTCAGCGCTAAGGATGCACCAATACTACTTACCCACCTCCTGGCTTCCTGGTTGCCCAGAAAGCCAGCTCCATGCTTCCTCGTCACATCGACGGCTTCAAGGCTAGTTGAGAAGCCGAGCGGTTGAGTCATTACACGCCAACCGGCTTCCTGGCTAATAAGGAAGCTTGGTGGCGAGGAATACATTACAGGGTGCCCGGCTTCCTTATTGGGACGGCCCAACGAAATCATCTTGTGGCCCAACTAAGTACTGATGTGGTGATCATAATAATCTGGCCACTCGGTGTATATAGCCTAGCTTAAAGTGACACTAAATTTAGGAGTTAAATCTCAGAAATACATTCAAGTACCTTAACTATTTACAAAATGTACCTTATTTGTGTATCACTTGTCTGTAGATCCTCAAATCATCTCTGAATTGGTGCAGACACCGTCCTTCCTTCTGGAGGGGGGCTAGTTTTGTACCCCATGGTCCCTGTGTGTGTTATAAAGTAGCCACCACTCCAAGCTCACTCCAGACTACAATCTCAATACAAATTAGTAAACGAAATGTGAGCTTGTGGTCCACCACGGGAGCGAGCTTGGAGTGGTGACTACTCCACTACCCACACAGGGACCATGGGGAAAAAAGTAGCTCCTTCTCCAATTCAGAGATGGTTTGAGGATCTACAGCCGAGTGATACACAAATAAGATACATTTTTGTTAACAGTTAAGGTAATTGACTGCATTTTTAGAAATGTAACTCCTGAGTTTAGGGTCACTTTAAGTTCCTGATTTTTAGGCAGGTACTAAAAACACTGCCCCCAACAGTCAGCATAATTCACCTGCTAAAGGACACCAAAGGTTCTATTCAGGAAATGTTTGCAGAGCATTTTGCCTAGCAAACAGCTATGTTGTAGATTAAAAATGCATTATGGCCACTAGATGGAGTCAAGGAGCGTAGGAAATTCCTGTGCTTCTTGGCTCCATCTATTATTATTATATTGTTATTAGCGAGGTGGCAACTCAGGCGGTTGTAGATGAGGCGTTCTAGGAGTTTAGAGGTGAATGGGAGTAAGGAGATAGGTCTGAAATTATTGATGTTGGTAGGGTCCAGTGAAGGTTTTTTGGGTATTGGGGTGACTAGTGCATGTTTGAGTGGGGTAGGAAAGATTCCAGTAGAGAGGGAAAGATTGAAAAGAGAATCTAGTGGCCATAATGCACTGCAAATCTACAGTGTAGATGTTCGTAGAGCAAAAAGCTCTGCAAACGTTTTATAAACTTGTACCTATATTTTCTGTGTCATCTTGTGCTTCTATGTCAAATCATACTATTTACTTTGATCCACCTCCTATAAATCAGTATTTCCACTGGTTCAATCATTGTATACACTCCATTGAAGTCTATATTCTATGATATCTTATATTTACTCCACCAGATAACTTTCATAACATTTGCTAGCTTGGGGATCCAGTTCCTTAGTGCAAGGAATGTTTAGACAGCATGGTGGTACAATTGAGAAGGTAAGTGATGGCAGCTTATAGTATCTCATATAATGCCTAGTACAGAGTCAAGATTCTAAGTTAGCCATTCTCATCCAGGGTTCCTCCAGTGGCTGTTGGGGGGCTCCTTGAAATGTGGTGGAGTAACCTCCAATCTGATTGTGCTTGCATTGTTCCAGGGGGCAAAACCACTTGGCAGAGGAATCGGCACGACTACAATTATCTTTTTAGCCGTCTGAAACGCTGCCATTCCAACCTTCACTGTAAAAAGGACATTCTTCCCACTGACCACCACTGTTAGGGCGACATTTTTCCCAATGACCACCACTGTAAAGAGGACATGCATCCACTGACCATCACTGTAAGGTGGCATTCTTCCCAATGACCACCACCGTAAGGGGGGCAGTCTTCCCAATGATCACCACTGTAAGGGGGGCATTCTTCCCAATGATCACCACTGTAAGGGGGGGCATTCTTCTCAATGATCACCACTGTAAAGAGGGAATTCTTCCCAATGATAACCACTCTATGGGGGACAGTTTTCCCAATAATCACCACTGTAAAGGGGGCATTCGTCTCAATGATCACCACTGTAAGGGGGGATATTCTCAATGATAACCACCGTAAGGGGGGCATTCTTCTCAATGATAACCACTGTAAGGGTGGCTCTCTTACCAATGACCCCAATGCATACGTTTTAGCAGGGGTTCCCTGAGACCAGATAATTATTTTATAGATTTCTCTGGGGTAAAAATTCTTCCCAATGTTAATCACTGTAAGGGGGGCATTCTTCTCAATGATAACCACTGTAAGGGTGGCTCTCTTACCAATGACCCCAATGCATACGTTTTAGCAGGGGTTCCCTGAGACCAGATAATTATTTTATAGATTTCTCTGGGGTAAAAATTCTTCCCAATGTTAACCACTGTAAGGGGGCCATTCTTCCCAATGTTAATCACTGTAAGGGGGGCATTCTTCCCAATGATAACCACTGTAAGCGAGCGTTCTTCTCATTGATCACCACTGTAAGAGGGGCATTCTTCTCAATGATCACCACTGTAAGGGGGGCGTTCTTCTCAATGATCACCACTGTAAGGGGGGCGTTCTTCTCAATGATCTCCACTGTAAGGGGGGCGTTCTTCTCAATGATCTCCACTGTAAGGGGGGCATTCTTTTCAATGATCACCACTGTAAGTGGGCATTCTTCTAAATGATCACCACCGTAAGGGGGGCCTTCTTCTCAATGATCACCACAGTAACCGGGGCGTTCTTCTCAATGATCACCACTGTAAGGGGGCATTCTTCTCAATGATCACCACTGTAAGGGGGGCATTATTTTCAATGATCACCACTGTAAGCGGGCATTCTTCTCAATGATCACCACTGTAGGGGGGAATTCTTCCCAAGGATCACCACTGTAAGCAGGCGTTTTTCTCAATGATCACCACTGTAAGGGGGGCATTCTTTTCAATGATCACCACTGTAAGGGGGGCATTATTTTCAATGATCACCACTGTAAGGGGGCATTCTTCTCAATGATCACCACTGTAAGGGGGGCATTATTTTCAATGATCACCACTGTAAGGGGGCATTCTTCTCAATGATCACCACTGTAAGGGGGGCATTATTTTCAATGATCACCACTGTAAGGGGGCATTCTTCTCAATGATCACCACTGTAAGGGGGGCATTATTTTCAATGATCACCACTGTAAGGGGGCATTCTTCTCAATGATCACCACTGTAAGGGGGGCATTATTTTCAATGATCACCACTGTAAGGGGGCATTCTTCTCAATGATCACCACTGTAAGGGGGGCATTATTTTCAATGATCACCACTGTAAGGGGGCATTCTTCTCAATGATCACCACTGTAAGGGGGGGGGGGCGTTCTTCCCAATGATCACCACTGTAAGGGTCGGCGTTCTTCTCAAGGATCACCACAGTAAGCGGGGCGTTCTTCTGTAAGCAGGTGTTCTCAATGATCACCACTGTAAGGGGGGAGGGGGCATTCTTCTCAATGATCACCACTATAAGGGTGGCTCTCTTACTAATGACCCCAATGCATACGTTTTAGCAGGGGTTCCCTGAGACCAGATAATTATTTTATAGATTTCTCTGGGGTAAAAAGGCTGAGAAAGGCTGTTCTAAGTATAGAGAACCTTTGGAGCTAGGCAATGTCAATGAAGTGCTCTAGCCTGTAATAACAAACTAAACTTTTCTAAATTAAAACAGACCAAAGAAGAATTATTGGTTGTTGCAGACACTGTTTATTGTACCAGATTGAACAAGGGCCCCTGTTCCCTATAATAATCTTTTCATTGTTCCTTTCTTCTCCTTAACCTAGCTAGCTGGCGGTCCTGTAACTCCGCCTCAGTCAGCGCCCAGTCGCTCTCATTTATCTCCTCTACCAATATGGCTCCCCGATAGCCCCCGCCCCCGTCAGCGCTCACTCGCTCTCCCTTCGTGTCCTCTACCAAGATGGAGCCCCAGTAGCCCCGCCCCATTCAGTGCTCACGCGCTCTCCCTTCCTCTTGTGCGCGTTGCATGCTGGGCCTCGCGAGCAGGGCTGCGGCGTGAGTGCGGCCTACTCGTGGAGCGGAGACCCCCCTCTCAGGCAAAGCTACCGATCGAATCCCGGAACGAATAAGACGCGGAGCACCCCCCCCACCGGCGACCCGTGCAGCTTCAGGGCTGAGAAGAAGCGCTTAGTCCTGTTTTCAGTCAGGCGGCCCCATCCTAGCCGGGGTAGGTGAGTGAGGCGGCCGCAGTGTGCCCGCATACGGGGGGTGGTAGGGTTCAGTGTGGTCTGGAGGAGGCGGTTGTCCCGCATTGTCTTCCTAGCCATGTACGGAATGCAGGGATGTGTATCCTTCCCGGCTACCTCTGTGAGAGGAAGGGCCTCTACCGGCCTGTTCTTTACCTGCGTGGGGGATGGCGGGAAGTCCTTGCTCCTGGGGGCCCCGTTTCATAGGGGGGCCCCATCTATCTTTGTATGCATGGGCAGGCCGCGCTTTGTGCTGATGATCAGCTCATGTATAGGGAGAAATCTCTGTGAAGTGTTTCCTCTTTTCCAGCCAGATTCGATAACTCCCAATTACACTTTGTGTTCCTATTGACACACATGGTGGGAATTAATTAATCCTTGAGCGGATATCTATGTAACTAATAGTAACCAATCCAGCTTCTTTCTTTCATCTACAAAGCTTAAATGAACAAACTGAAGATAGACGCTGATTGGTTACTATGGACAACTGCTCCAGTTTTGATCAATTCCCCTCATTTGACCTAAAACAATATAAAGATGTTTACCTTACTAGTAGGGATCTACCGATACCAGTGTTTTGGTATCGAGTACCGATATTTTTTTTCAGTACTCGCCAATACAGGCATCTGTGGGCTCGGATTATCAGGAAGTCGAGCCGGTGTTCTCTTTACTTCCCTCGCGACAATGCGTGGTAGCCTGGTTTTGTGACCAATCAGAAAGCCAGGAGGCGGGTCATGCCGTTCCGCCTAGCTTCCTGATTGGTCAGGAAGCCAGGCTGCCTAATTCCTAGCCAATCTGCCTTGCGGGCAGAACAACCTCGTGATTTAGGTAAAGGGGGTCTGGGTTGTGATGTGACCGTGTTTTGTTACATCCATAATGAGGGTTAGAAAACTAAACTTAGACTTTAACCCTTTGCTAGGACAGAGTGCAGATCTGAGGTCTTCCAGCACAGTACGCACAGGATTAATTATGGTTAACATGACTCCCCAGCCCCCTCCTATAGAAAGGCAGAGTGAAGGGCTCATTTACACCAGTTCACAGTTGCTCTGGGCAGATTATCACAACGCTGCCTTGAGATGCGTTAGTGCCTTGTGTGAAATAGACAGCCTGCTGCATTTTTTTGTAACTCACAGCAACTCCTCTGAAGTCACTGCAGCTCAACTGCAATGTGTAGAAATGAATGACCAGTCATTTGGTGGCACTTCAATAAAGTGAAAGAAGTCCTCTGGTAAAATCACAATTACCCTTCCAGTGGGGTGACATCTGCACTGCAAGGGTTAAATCAGAACTCCAGGAATGTATTTTTTATTAAAGCGGACCTTTCCACATCTGTTCAAAATGACAACAGAGGCACCTTTAGAAACGCTTAGCATAAATATATAGAATAATTGTAAATATTAATGTATTTTTCACTTTTGAATAGGTTGCTATTGCAGTCATGTCTTATCCACCTCATCTGAACCGACCCCCAATGGGGATTCCTACCCTTCCTCCGGGGATACCTCCTCCACAATTTCCAGGATTCCCACCCCCTCCTGGTAAGTACATTTCATTTTGTTCACTTTTTGTATTGCACACCTGAAGGCAAACGGTTTCTCAGCCCATCCATTGATGCCAATGATGAGAAATGTAGCCACACACAAAGCCGAGTCAGACAGGAGCTTCACGAGTGTGAGATTTGCAATATGAGGTTTCTCTAAATATTCTTTGGTGGATGCAAAAGACCACTGGGTCCTTATGCAAGGAGGAGGGACATGAAGCAGAAAGTTATGCTTTCTTGTATGTAATCTTTCTCCTGCAAAAGAAGCGAGAAGTCCATATTAGCTCCGTGTTTGAAGAGATTTACAATAATGGATTGTTAGTGCAACTTGACAGTTAACTTTTTTTCATTTTACTTTACCATTACAGTGTAAATGTGTTTTTTTTTTTTTT